ATCTCCAGCCTTTTTGTTGTTGTTGTTTTTCATTTATTCATTCAACCAGTACTGACGTGCTTTGTACTATGTTGAAAAAGTTTGAGGCAGAGACAGGTTGTAGCAGGGAGTAAGTCAAATCACCTGCAGTCGTTATTGACTACAGTATGTCAGATGAGATTATTCATACTATCATTGGAACTCACTTTTTGCTATGATGAAAGCAGTCTTAGAGGCTGGGAAGATGGCTTAGCCTGTAAAAGCACTTGCAGCTCAAGCCCGATGACCATTCTTAGAATGCATGTTTAAAAAAATTGCACCCGTAATCCGAGTACTCCTACCACTAGATAGGAGATGGAGACAGGATAATTGCCCTGAAGTTTGCAGGCCAGCTAGCCTGGTGTATGCAGCACAGTAGAAACAATGAAAGACCCTGTCTCAGAAGGGTGGAAGGATAGGACTACCAAAAGTTGTCCTTTGTCCTCCACATGCACCTGTGGCTTAAAATAAGGATTGGCAGTGGTTTGTTGCCCCCTCAAAGGGTTATAGTAGATATGTGAGGTATTGTGGACCATACATTTTCTAGCATTGTTATGTAACTCTCCTGTTGCAGTACAAAGAGTCCTTGGGTGATGCATAAGTAGAAAACACAGACTGTACCAGGGGAACTTAATGTACAAAATCTGTTAGCAGATTAGATTTGAACTAAAGGCTTACTTACTGATGTTTGATTTAAAACAGCAGAAGGTGACTAGGCATGGAAGCACACACCTTTAATACTTGCACTTGGGAAGCAGAGGCAGATGGAGCTCATGAGTTCAAGGCCAGCCTAGTCTACATAGCATTTCCAGGTTAACTGGGTCTACATACTGACCCTGTCTCAAAACAAAACAAAACAAAAAACCCCACAAAAAAACAGAGGGTATAGCTCAATGGTAGAGGGCTAACTTGGAATGTGAAAGGCCCTGGCCTCCTTCCCAGCCCTGCAAATAAGTATAAGTAAATGTAAACCAGGTATAGTGGCACATGCCATAATCCCACAACTGGGGAAGTAGAGTAAGGGGATCAGTAAATCAAGACTAGCTTTGGCTGCATAGAAAGCCTGATGACATAAGACTGTTTATTAAGAAAAATAAGCAAAATGATTTGTTTGCTTAGAAATTTATGATTTAGGTCTCGACAGGGCAACATCTGTTCTACCCTGTGTTAGAGCATTTTGAAGGCTGAGGACAGATACCACATGAAGGCAGCAAGCTCACAGGTCTCTTTCCTGGGGTAGGTAAATAGCTGGGATGTCTGTCATTATGCCATCTCTCTATTTGGTCTTCCATGCAGCATGACAGCTTCAAGATAGCCAGCTTTCTTATTTGTTGCTTTAGGGCTTCCAGAATGTGTGACCAGTGAGAACAGTGGAGCTTCCTTTTTTAGCCTTGCGTGCCAAGTCATTCTGTGTCATTTGTCACCGCTGCTGGATTTTCTTTGACTAGGCCAGGGACGACCAAACGTTTCCTACTGTTCAAAGCCATCTAACCACTTTGTCTTGTACAGTATGTTGTAGTAAAGCCATGCCCAGCCCTGTATTTGTTGTCTATGGCTGCTTTCACACTACCAGGTGGAGTTGAGTCATTGTGACAAACTTGTGTCTCCAGAGCTTAATATAGTCATCTGACTCTATAGGAAGAATTTGCTATTCTCTAAGATAGGCATTGTCAGCAGCCTCTCTGTGTTGAAGGAAAGTGGTAGACTGGACCTCTTAATGTAGGGCTGTGACAAGGTTCTAAAAGCATGTGTGGAACTGGAAGTTGTCAGAGTCATTGTAAAAATACCGTCTGCCACAGAGGGAACCATGTGGATACTTCTGGGAATTTGCTCCTCTGTTCACAGGACAGTAGTGTGTCATTGTTACATGGGTGAGTGGGATAGCTAAGTATTGGAAAGTAAGGGCCTTACTGAGGCCTGTGCAAGGACATTAACATCTTATTTATTCATTTTTGGTTTGGGTTTTGTGTGCTGCCACACCTGGCTAGACTTTGCCAATTAGAGAAGTAGGAGGTCACTATAGTCACCCAGGCAAGATAGTGCTTAGATCAGGGTGGATTATATCAGAGCCTGTTAAAATTTTCCACTTACAACCCTTTTCACCTGAGGAAAAAAAAATTTTTTTTTTTTGGAGACGGGGTCTCCTTGTAGCCCCAGATGTCCTGGAACTCACTATGCAGACCAGGCTGGCCTTGAACACACAGAGATCCGCCTGCCTCTGCCTCCCAAGTGCTGGGACTACAAGCGTGTGCCACCACACCCGGCTTCACCTGAGAAATTTTTACACAACCCTGAGTATATAGGCATATAAAATATGTATACAAAAAAAGTACCGATAATAAATGGTAAAGAAATTTATTTTAAAAGAGTTCTTTGTATACTTAAGTTTTGCCACTTAATAAAGACCAAAGCAAGTTTTCATACTAATAAGATGGATGTGTTTTTTCTTTTTACATAAAGAGTTAAATCTTGGGGCCAGTGAGATAACTTATTGAGCAGAAGTGCTCCCTGTGCAGGCCTGCTGACCCATGTGTAAAGATGGAAGAAGAGGACTACAGAGTTGTCCTATGACTTCCACAAACACAGTGTGGCACGCATACCCCCCCATACATCATGGTTGCACACATACACACAAAAGGAAGGAAGAAAGAAAGAGAGAAGGGAGGGAGGAGGGAGAGATTATTGGAACTTCTATCCTAATTCCAAGCTAAATTCATTAAATTTTTTTTCTTTTTTTTTGGCCAGGGGGGAGACTCAAGTCAGAAACCCAAATAGTCGCCAGGCATGGTGGTGCACGCCTTTAATCCCAGCACTCTAGAGGCAGAGGCAGGTGGATCTCTGTGAGTTCAAGGCCAACCTGGTCTACATAGTTCCAGGACACCTGGGGCTGCAGGGGAGACCCTGCACTCTAGAGGCAGAGGCAGGTGGATCTCTGTGAGTTCAAGGCCAACCTGGTCTACATAGTTCCAGGACACCTGGGGCTGCAGGAAGGAGACCCTGTCTCAAAAAGATCAAAAAAAAAAAATGATAGTAGGAAAACATTAAAAGTCTTTGCTTTCTGGAATTAAACCTTTCTGTTTCAATAAGAGCAGAAAATTTTGCACAGTAAAAACACCGCAATTCATAATATATATTAGTCTTGAATCTGATTTGAGGTGTTTCAGTGATTGGTTGGTGTTATGGGGCATGATGTCATATGCAGTACAAAGTGTACATGTGGGTCAGGGGCTAGAAATGTAGCTCAGTTGGTAGAGTACTTACCTAACATACACAAGGTCCTACGTTCAATTCCCAGCATCACATAAAACCAGCACTTGCACTAAGGAGATAGAAGCAGAGGGATCAATAGTTCAAGGTCATTCTCAGCTACATAAGTGAGTCCAGGCCAGCCTGAAATACATTAGACCCTGTCTCAAAAAAAAAAAAAAAAGAAAAGAAAAACGACTGACAAGATGGTATAAAGGTACTTGCTACCAAGCCTGATGATCTGCATTTGATTCCCAAACCCACATGGTAGAAGGACAGATCTTATTCCCCTGAGTTGTCCCTCTAACCTCCATTAGCCACCCCCCACATGAATGTAAACAAATAAATTAAAATGTAAATATTTTAAGTGCACATGTTGTGTGTTTGGATCTAAGACTACAGTAAAATCACAGGCTGCAACATAGGCACGTGCTGCAAGAAACACCTCAGATTCATTACATGTTTAATTTTGAGTTAATTTTTGGTTGTTGCTCATTGAAAAACCATGTACTGTTAGCAAAATTTTCATGACCCTTGCATGTGAGTCTCTATGGGGTCGTGACCTACAATTTAAAATCTGGGGTTTAGATGAAAGTGGTAAGATTGAAGATACAAGAGACTGGATCGAAAGCTCAGTTAGAGTGTTTGCTCTGCAGTCACGAAGATGAGAGTTCAGGTCCCAGCACCCACATGACAAACTGGGTGTGGTCCCACACATGCCTGTAACCCCAGCACTAAGAATGGCTGAGATAGGATTGTGGTAGGCTTGCTGACTGCTAGCCTAGCCAAGAAATATAAACTCCAGGTTGAGGGTGAGACCCTGTCTCAGAGCCATGAAGTAGAGAGTGATAAAGGAGAACACAGGACACTCTCCTCTAGTATGCACACCTGCACAAATATGTGCACATATCCATGCATATAAACAAGAAATAGGGGCCAGTAAGATGGCATAGTGGGTCAGGGCTCTTGCCACTAAGCCTGACAACCTGAGTTTGATTCCCAGAACCCAGGTGGTGGTAGGAGAGAACCAACTCGTCAAGGTGCACTCTGACCTCTGTGCTGTTGCACATGTGCTACGCCCCAGTTATACATACACACTAATAATCATAAGGGAAATAATTTTAAATTCACTAAAAAAGCCCTGTAGTATAATGATCTCTGTTACAAATAATCTAAAATATTTCATCCTTCTGGTTTAGTAAATCAAAAGGTTTTGATTTTCAAAGTTTAGTTTTCTAAGATAAAGCAACATATTGTTCAAAATAGCAAAAATGGTATCTAGCTATAGGACAGGTAGGCCAGAGATACAACTCCATGTAGCCACCTAAGGCAGTCTTCGCAGAGATTTCTGCTCATATGAACCTGGGATCCTTGGCTTCACCCTTAGGTAAGAACTTCAGGATTAGCCTGTAGGAAGCAGAGCTGGAGTTTATTAAGAAGAGATTTTGGGGCCTAGAGAGATGGCTCAGTGGTTAAGAGCACTGACTGCTCTTGCAGAGGTCCTGGGTTTGATTCCCAACACCCACGTGGTGATTAAACCATCCATAACCCCAGTTCCAAGGTATCCAGCACCCTCTTCTGACCTCTGCAGGCATTGCACAACACAGGTGTACTTACACACATGCAGGCAGTATACTCATAAGATTAAAAATAATAAAATATTTTTTAAGTTAAAAAACATTTTTATTGTGTAGAAATCCATATATATATATATAAAATCCCCCCCCCAAAACATGTTATTCTCTCATTTCCCTGTCTTCCTCCTCTTCTTCAACACCTCTGATACAAAGGACATTATTACACCTTATTAAAACTTCACCCAGATGTCCAGACAATGCCCCATCTATGTATTCTTCCATATTTGCAAGCTGCGTGTTCATGTAGCCATCTACAGACACCAGGTACCCCTTGTACTCCGTACCCCACTTTAGTGTCACCATCACTGGCTTTCCTGTCAGTCCATTGAGAAAAGGTTTGGGATTGAGGGGTAAACTCATCGCGCCAATACGTGCGACCCCCACAAGCTACTCACCGCCAACTCCACTGTGCGCATCCCTTGTGGCTAGGGCCTCAAGCCCGGGCCGATGAGCCAAGAGAAAAATCTAAAAATAATAGAATATTTTTAATAAGAAGAGATTTTAACATAGACGCGCTCAGGGAAAGGATACAGCATACCCAAGCATGGATATGAACTTTTCAAGGGGGGGGGGGCTCACACTTAGGTGTACACTGTCTGTCTATTTGTCTGTGACGGTCTTCCTGTAGCCCCAGCTGGCCTGGAACTCATTATATAGACAAGGCTGGCCTTACCTCCTGAGTGTTAGGATGAAAGGGATGCACCACCACACCTGGTCTAATACACATTTTTGATGGCTTCTGAAGTTATATCTCAAAGGGTTGCCAGGGTACTTAAACAAGATCATAGAGATTCCTGTGGTGTATTGGATAGGATTATAGCTTGGTAAAGTAAATCCCTAGGTCAGAAGGGTGACAGAGGAGCTGGGCATGGTGGTGCACACCAGAACTTGGAAGGCAGAGGCAGGTGAATCTCTGTGACTTCCAGGCCAGACTAAGGCCAGCCTGATCTACATAGTGAGTTCCAGGCCAGCTGGGACTACTGGGAGACCTTGTCTCAAAAAGACCATAAAAAGAAAAAGAGCTACAGAGGAAGATATTTTTGCTAAAAACAGAAGTATATAGTTATTTGTGCAAGTCCCAGGAAGTTGTAGGTTTACATCTGGGAAAGGAAGTAAGGCCATACTCATACAAATAGGCCTTAGGAATGGTTCATTGCCATCTTAAAATTCTTTTTTGTTTGTTTGGTTGATTGGTTAGATGATTGGGCGTGGGGGGTGACAGGGTCTCATTATGTAGCCCTGGCTAACCTGGAAGTTTCTATAGCTCAGACTGACCAGGCTGACCTTGAACTTACTGAGATATACATACCTCTGTCTCCTGAGTGCTGGGATTAAAGGTGAGCATCACCACATACTCCTGATGAGACTTCAACCGGGCTCTAGAATGTAGGGGCTCCTTATGAGCCTTAATTTTCCTTGTCTTTCTGCCTTGCCTAGGATAACACTGGTTTTTATTTTTGTTAACTTCTCTTTTCTAATCAAAAGACTTATTTCCTGTTTTCTGTGAAATATCATTATTTTCTAAATAGCATAATGTCTTCAAGACTTGCTCAAGGTCAGAGTCTTTGTTGGTGTGTTACTGAGTCTAAATCAAAGATCTAAAGATCTCCTTTTTTTTTTTCTTTTTCTTTTTCTTTTTTTTTGTGGTCTTTTTGAGACAGGGTCTCCCTGTAGCCCCAGCTGTCCTGGAACTCACTATGTGACCAGGCTGGCTGTGAACTCACAGAAATCCACCTGCCTCTGCCTCCCGAGTGCTAGGATTAAAGGCATGTGCCACCACGCCCAGCTAAAGATCTCCTTTTTAAAATTAAATTCTTTAAAAAAAATTTTTTTTTATTTTTATTTTATGTGTACTAGTGTATTACCTGCATGTATGTAAATGCACCTGTGTCGTGCAGTGCTGCAGAGATCAGAAGAGGGCTTCGGATTCCCCTGGAACTGGAGTTAAAGACGGTTCATAGCCACCATGTAGGTGCTGGAAATCGAACCCGGGTCCTCTGCAAGAGCAGTCAGTGCTCTTAACCACTGAGCCAGCTCTCCAGCCTCCTTAAAATTAAATTCTTTACATTTAATTTAGTGTGTGTGTGTGTGTGTGTGTGTGTGTGTGTATATATATATGTGTATAAGAGTCAGAGGACAGCCTGCAAGAGTCACTTCTCTCCCTCTACCATGTGGGTTCTGGGGATAGAACTCAGGTCCTCAGGCTTGACAGCATTTTTTTTAAACCTGCTGAGCCATGTCATGGGCCCCAGTCTTCCCATTCTAAATAAAACCTCTATATGTAATACCCACACAATGAATATTTTTTCTTTTATATATACATATATATATATGTTTCTTTTGAGAATATTTTATTACATGTAAATGAAGAACTTACAGTATATTTCTAATTTAGGACTATAACTGAAGTTAATTCTGGATAAAACCTGTCTTTTGAATCCTGTTATATTAAAGAGAAAAATCCTTCCCTTTTTTCTGGTTTGACGTTATGTGCGTGCCGCTTTCTGATGCTTTTCTCCTCATTTCTCCACAGCTGTGTATGCCTAAAGGGCTATCTTTCAGAACACAAGCTGACAATAAAGACCCCCAGTTCCACTCCTTTATAATTACCCGGGAAGATGGTTCTCGCACCTATGGTTTTGTTCTTACTTTTTATGAAGAAGTTACAAGTAAGCAAATCTGCACAGCAATGCAGACGCTGTACCAGATGCATAATGCCGAGCAGTACAGCAGTGTGTACGCGTCGTCCTCCTGCAGCATGGATTCACTGGCTAGTAGTATTGATGAGGGCGATGCAACTTCTCTTTTGAAACTCCAGCGATACAATTCCTATGACATCAACAGAGACACCCTGTATGTTTCAAAAAGTATATGCTTGATCACACCTCTGCCTTTCATGCAAGCCTGCAAGAAATTCCTCATCCAACTTTACAAAGCAGTCACCTCACAGCAACCACCACCCTTGCCTCTCGAGAGCTACATCCACAATATTCTCTATGAGGTCCCCCTTCCACCTCCTGGGAGGTCACTGAAATTTTATGGTGTTTATGAACCTGTCATCTGCCAGAGGCCTGGGCCCAATGAACTCCCTCTCTCTGACTACCCTCTTCGAGAGGCCTTTGAGCTTCTGGGACTAGAGAACTTGGTACAGGTGTTCACCTGTGTTCTTTTAGAGATGCAGATCCTTCTCTACTCACAAGGTATGTATTCTCTGCACTTTGTTTTCTAAAATGTACTATGCCCCCAAATACTGTTTTTTTTTTTTTTTTGAGCTCTTGATTTTAGAACCAAATAATGATAGTCTTTTCTGCTTTGCATAAGAGAAACAGATTTGGGTGAAACTAAAAACTTTATGGTTGTTTCTCTTTGAGATGGCAATAACTACAGACAAATGAAAATAGCCCACCTTTCCTAATCATTATTAAAGATACATTGAAACCTGTTACTGCAAGGGATAAATACGCTTCCTATTCTTCACAAATTAGTAATGTTTCACATGAAAATTCAGCTAGAATTAAAGAAATGTTTATTCTGCAGCTTCATGGGCAAAGAACTGTAGGAACATGGTCACATAAGTGAGAAAGAGAAGGTGTGCAGGTGGGAAAAGATGACTTTCCCAGGTCTAGCAGCAGACCTGCTAGAACTGTACAGTTTGGATTTTAACCCCCAAGTCCCAGAGGATATTATCTTTATGGTATCTTTTATTCAGAGTTCTCCCAACACACATTTAAGATCCTAACAAACTGAGTTTTGCTTTACCAGTGTATTTTTGATGGTGATCATGAGCCTAGGCTAGGATATCTATTTCAACTTGACTATGAATTTAAAGAGTAGAGATGCTGTGTCATAATAGATACAGAATTGCAGGAAATTATAGTGGCCCTGTGCATTGTTGAATCCTTGAAAAATGTGGCACAGATATCTGGAATAGCGATTTGCTAGCTTGTGTTTAGGCTGGCAGAATTGTACCGTCTCCCATCTGCTGCTGTCATGCTTATTTTTCGCTTTCCTTTTTTCATTTTTTCTATTTTAAAGTACAAGTGAAACTGAGCCAAGTAGGCTGTATTTACACTCCCCCATCTTCTGTGTGTTGACACTATTTGTGTGTTGACAGCCCTTCGTAGGGTTGTTTTCTTTCAGTTTATCCTACATAATGTTTTTGATAATGTGTTCCAGTGTCGCTTTTTGTTGTCAGGAAGTGATGCTCTTGTGGTCAACCCAAGTTCTTTCTTTTTGCTCTCACTTTCTTTTTTTTTAACTTTAAAAAAATTGATTTATTATTTTTATTTTATGTGTATAAGTGTATTGCCGGCATGTATGTGAGTACACCATGTCGTGCAATGCCACAGAGGTCAGAAGAGGGCTTTGGGTTCCCCTGGAACTGGAGTTAAGGACGGTTCATAGCTGCCATGTGGGTGCTGGGAATCGAACCCTGGTCCTCTGCAAGAGCAGTCAGTGCTCTTAACTGCTGAGCCATCTCTCCAGCCCCTGCTCTCATTTTCTTAGTGCTCATCATTATCTGTAAATTGCCTACTTATAGCTGAAAACTTTAATTAATTCTCTCTTGCTTTCTTACTTTTTTTCCTCGAAGATGGTAGGGTTAGAGAGCTTCATCATGTCATCATTCAGACAGTTACAAATTTTGGAGCATTTCAGATTTCAGATTTTTGGATTAGACATGTTTAAGCTGTATTGGTTTTGGAAATCATAAAAGTCCTAGTTTCAAATCTCTGTTCAGTCCCTTCCTAACTGTAATTGCTGTGGGTAGGTTACTTCATCTTCCCAAGTGTCTGCTCCCTCATCTCTGTAGGGATGTCTTTGATACCCACCTCCAATTTAATGTGAAGGGTAAGAACAAACCTATAAGAATTCTTATTCTTAGGGTATATTTTGTACTCACTGATAGCTGATAGTAAGTTAGTTTTTATTAGTCCCATATATAAATATACATAACTTTTATATAATACATACAAATTATGCTTATTGTGAAAAGTCCAACATACTGCAATATTTAAACTATAACTTTGTTAATTAGATAGTCAAGACATTTTTTGTGGCTGGGGTGTACTTTGTGATAGAGCAGGAGGCTAGTGTTCATGAGGCCCATGGCTTGGATCCCAGCACAGAGATGGAGGTGGGGCATTTGTTCCAAGGATTGAGGAACCAATAAACGGGCTAAGGGTATAGCTCAGTAGTAGCACTTACGGAGTAAGTGGAGAAGGGCTGGATTTTGTTGTTGTTCTGGCAAGTGGTCTTCTGACCTCTACACATGTGCTGTGGCACGTGCACTTGAGCATGCATGCATGCATACACACATGCACACACCACATAAATAATGTTTAAAAAAAAAAAAAAAGAAAGAAAGAAAAGAAAAAA